CGCGGGGAGCCTGCTTCTCCCTCTCCCACTCCCCCTGCTTGTGTTCCCTCTCTCGCTGTGTCTCTCTGTCAAATAAATAAATAAAATCTTTAAAAAATAAATAAATAAATGTACAATCCTATCTCTCTTTTTCATATGAGGAAGGTTGAGGCTCAGAGAGATAAAAGAACTTGCTCAAAATCATACACATAAGTATGACAGGATCTGGTCTGTCTACACCAAGGGTTGAGTTATTTACCAACTTTCAATATTGCCCACTTTGACTCAAAAGCAATCCGTTTTGGACAATAATTGGTTATTCTATCCATGGATCACTGTGGCAGAACTGTTAAAAATACAGATTCCAGGGACACCTGCCCGGCTCAGTCAGTAGAGCATGTGACTCAATCTCTGGGTTGTAAATTCAAGCCCCATGAGGGGTAAAGAGATTACTTAAAAGTAAAATCATAAAAAAAAAAAAAAATTACAGATTCCTGAACTCACAACCATTTGTCTATGCTATTCTGCCTTCCCCAGAGACGCAGCCAGGTCCTGATAAGGTATCTAACCCCACCAGTTCAGAGTGATGTTCCCAGACAAACTCTCTGGAGCCTTGGAGAATCTAAGTAGTCTTCTGCTGGCCCACCTGCCAGAAAGAACCTCCTCCAGAGCTCTCCCCTTCATATTTTTCCTCCTAGCTCTCCCCAAGGGCAGTCTGCTCTAATCAGGCCTGACTTCGTGTGTCCTAACATGCACCACACTAATTCAAGCAACTCAGGAATAGAAAGAACATGATGTGGTTCTCAACCAGGGTTGCCCAACCTCTAAAATAAGTAGTCCCGTCATTTTCTACCTCCAGAGCACATCGCCTTTGCCCCCAGGAAACAAGCATCCCATCTTCACATATTAAAGGTCAGCAACAGGGGGCTCCCTCCTAAGGAAGGTTATCTCTCATTGCTAGGAAGTTCTTGGCTGCACTATATCAAGGCTGCCCCAAATATGGTTCCTTCCTGTGGGCCTGATCAGGCTAAGGGCAGAGTTTTCTATTTCCTCCTCCTCGGAGTAGGACCCAATCAGCTTTAGTAACGTCTCTTCACAGTTTGACTGTTTTTCACCGGCACTTTTGCTGAGCCCCCACTTCATCCTTTCATAGTGGTAGGATTGTTATTACAGTATTTGCCTTCTGGGGGAGAGATGAAAGTAATGATTAAGTTGTCATTTTGTATTATGTCATTTTGTCATGAATTTGTTTTGAATTTTATACTAAAATGGGCCCACCATTCCCACTGTGTGAAGCCATTCAGGACCCTTATTTTGCCTTGGAGCACCTTTAACATCTCTCCCAGTGTTACTCTGAAATGTGATGAGCTTGTCTTCACATTCCTATCAGGTATAAATCCAGAGCCCAACATGAAGCTCTACCATTGAGCAGAACATCTCTTCACTACTTATGCAAACTTGCATAGGTTTTTTGAGTCCCCCAGTTGTAAAAACGTGAGGGTTCTGTGAATTTATATTTGGGGCAGGACAAGTTCAAGAAGAGCTTGTCTTTGCTTTTATTCTTCCCAGCTGGAATGTCTTCCCTCTCCTCTCCACAGGTCCAAATCTAACTTATCCTTCAGACCCACTGCCAAGGAGCCTTCTACACAGATCTCTGCCTCTCCAGCTGTTGAATACTTAGGGACAGTGCCATACAACGTAGCTGTCTCTTGGGTTAATCTTGCCTCTCAAGCCAATCGCAGAATGTGGGTTTCTCTTGCCCTCTTTTGGTCCCTGGGGCTGTGAGAGCCCACAGGTATGCTCCCCAGGGAGTGGCTACTTCACTAGGGCTGGCTGGGGAGAGAAGTGTGAGGGCCCAGGCAGGGTGCTTCTCTGCCTCCACCCTGCTCTCCTCCACAAAACCCTGAGAGCCTGCCCCTCAAGTCACAGGTTCCTTATGTGACCTCACTGGGTAGTGATGACCTCACAGGCCTTCTCACAGTTTCCATGGCAGGGTAACTACGCAAACGTGGCGCTCTCGGGGAAACTTTCCTACCAGTTCTCTACCAGATACTAATCTGTTTGGTTGCCTGAGAGAGAATGTCTGACCGGATCTTCTATATTCATTCTAACTTGTCCTCTGTGCCCTGGGAGGGCAGCACAGCAGGTAGGCCTAGGCCAGGCATCTGTCCAAGAGTCACTGGTGTACACACAACTCCACCTGGCGGCCACATGTTCCTTTGGGGCTTCCCCACCACACCTCAGAACGTAACCAGCTGTAAGTAGAACAAGTGGCCTGGGGCCCCCTCAGGGACTTACGGTGTCCCTGCTCCCTGCTGAGGACAAGTGAAAGGACATCCCTGGGCAACTATTCAGAAAGCTTCTAATCTTTATAAATGCAGCCTTCCCTTTTGGGCTACAAGCTACTTTTCCATTCTGACCCTTTCCTGATTGGCCCCTTAGGGAAAGTCAAGCGAATTTTTGTTGGCAAGTGATAAATGGAGCAGTTTGAGGAAGAACTGTTGAGGGCTACTCATGAACCTCCCCTTCAAACCCAGGCACCTTCACCGTGCTGTCGGGTAGACACACACATGGGTCCCCTCAGAAACACCCCCAGACTGAGCTGCTGAATACTGGGGAAAGGTGGTGTCATGTCGATGGGAAGAACAGAAGAGCCAAGGAGAGTGATGAGTGATACAAGACTAGAGGGCTGACGAAATGGCGTCCTAGGAGGTTGGGTTGACGTGAGCCTAGACTTGCTACCCAGAATCTGGCTCTGAAGCTCCTGCTCACTCTGCCTCCGTATTTGGCCTTTTCCTAATCTAGGTAAAAGTATCAGAGGGCTAGAGATCAGTGTGGTTGAAAGAGGCAGTGTGAATGGGGCCCAAGAGGAGTTGCCAAGGTGGGAGGGGTTCTTAGCCCATTTATATTATTTTTTTCAACACCTGAAAGGTATTTCCATTAAAGCCTCAGAAGTGACAGACCTTAAGAAATGCTTTTTCTGCTGTGGAAGGGAGACATGGAAGGGATCCTGGCTGCAACTGTTTTCAGGTTCTACGGTTTCCTCTGAGAATGGGGGACAGATTTCCAGGTCTCCTGCTGCTGCCCTAAGCTCCATAGAATCGCTTTTGCAGCCATATTCCTTCTCTAGGGGACTCATAGAGGTGATGGGTCAAGTCTGTGTTTTGGATACCAAGCAGATTAAAGGGCTTCAGCCAGAAACAGGGAGAGACATGAGAGGGGAGGTCCTGGCAAGTCACTGTATACAGCAGAAATGACTGATGAGATCTGATTTTCTTTCCAGCAGCAGTACCTCCCACTTCTCCTCCTACACCTGGTCACTACCATGTCCTCTACCGAGGGTGTGGAGAAACCCAGGTGGGCTGGCATGGAGAGACATACTGCCTGGTTGGTGGTTACCGGACCTATGGGGATGCTCCTGTGGCCACCCCAGCAAAGGCGGAAGCAGAGAAACCAATTCCCAGCCGGGCTCCCAAAAGACATCGAGCTTTCGCAGAGTCGGATAAAGACCTAGGTTGCTCCAGCCCCAAAATACGGCGATTGCAGCATGGTGGCAGGAGGCTGACCCCACAGAAGCTTGCTGGCTGAGCCACTCTACAGAGAAGGCAAACGTTTAACCGCCTAAGATAGCTAATGCCTCTTCCTGCAGTGACCCCCTTTGCCCACCACTGGAGGTTAGAACCTGAGCCGTTCTGTCTGAGCCTTCGTCGGCCAGGAGCCTCCTTCCATACTAACTGGCCATGGGCAAGGAGCCTTAGAAACCGAGACTTGAAACGAAAGGCTGCTCTGAACATCCCAGGGTGGAAACTGGCCTGGAAGAAAACCTGATGTTTCTCTGCTCAATACTCTAGAGTCCCTTCTTGAGAAGAAGAAAGAAAAGTCTGACTCTTTGAGCCAAGGAGGATCCAGGAGCAGAGAGAGGGTTCATAGTAGTCTTAGCAGGGGCCCATCTATCAGAAAGACTCCTGCCCCGAGTCATTGCCAGCAGCCATCAACACAAACCAAGAAGAGCTGGGCTTTTTGAAACTGAAAAAAGCAATTTGTGTCTACCCAGGGAGCCTCTTGTCTGGAGTGCCAGGAGGCAGAATAAAGAGACCCAGGAAGATCCGCTCCCCAGTGCAGGAAGAAAATGGAGAGAGTTGGGCGGCACCACCACTGAGGCTCACGTGCTCCTTCATTCCCATCCCTTTCTGGCCCCAGTGGGATTTCTTACTGTTCAATAAAATGATTTTGTCTAACATATTTGACTTGAAATCCAGCTTGTCCAAGGCCAGGCCCCAAACCTCCTTGTTCCCTGAAAGTACATTCCCACATGGGGAACCTGGTGCTCTGAGACCTGCCTCCAAAAAAGACCCCTGAGTGCAGCTTCTAACTGTGTGGCTCTCCCAGTGACACCTGTACAAATCGGGGCAGGACCCGGGCAGGTTCTTTAAGAAATGCAGAGCCTGGGGCGCCTGGGTGGCTCAGTTGGTTAAGCGACTGCCTTCGGCTCAGGTCATGATCCCGGAGTCCCGGGATCGAGTCCCGCATCGGGCTCCCTGCTCAGCGGGGAGTCTGCTTCTCCCTCTGACCCTCCTCCCTCTCATGCTCTCTGTCTCTCATTCTCTCTCTCACAAATAAATAAAATCTTAAAAAAAAAAATGCAGAGCCTGATGAGAACTTCCCTCTGTGTGTGCACATGTGCGTGCATGTGTGTGTGTGTGTGTGTGTGTGTCTAAGAAGATGAGAGGCAGGACTGAGAAGACATTCTGTCAATCCACCCATCTCTATCCATTTACTCCACAAAATTTTTTTAAGGATTTTATTTATTTGACAGCGAGAGAGGGAACACAAGCAGGGGCAGTGGGAGAGGGAGAAGCAGGCTTCCCGTGGAGCAGGGAGCCCGATGCGAGGCTCGATCCCAGGACCCTGGGATCAGGACCTGAGCCGAAGGCAGATGCTTAATGACTGAGACACCCAGGTGCCCCTACTCCATAAATATTTATTGAGCACCTGCTGGTTGCTTGGGCTATATTAGTGAACAAGATGATTGAAGCCCCTCTCCTCATAGCACCCAGAAACTAAAGGAAGAGATAAGTAAAAGATATAATTTCAACTAGTTATAAGTGCAATAAAGAAAAGTAAGATGGGATAAAAGGATAGAGGGATGAGGGGGTGCTAGGTTCCACAAAGTAGTCAGGGGAGGCTTCTCTGAGGAGGCAACATCTCAGTGAAGGGGTGAAGGAATCCTGTGAAGAGTTGGAGGGAGACAATTCCTGGAGGAGGAAATGGCAGGAGCAAAGACCCTGAGGCAGGAATGAGGCTGGCCTGTTGTGGGACCAACAGAAAGGCTTGTGGCCAGAGACAAAAGAGAAGAATGAAAGATGTGGTTGGAGAAGCAGGCATGGGCCAGACCACAGCAGGCCTTGTCAGCCATGGTGAGGAATGTGGATCTTAAGTGTGATGGGAAAGTCATGGGAAGAAGTTGAGCAGGGTAGTGAAATGATCAGACATAGATGCTAAAAAGATCATTCTGACTACTGTGTGCCATGGCAGTGGGGTGCTGGCTGTTACCCATGGAATGTCTCTCTCAGCAGTTAAGGGGACAGTTGGTCCTAGGGAGTGGGGGTGGGGGAATATCAGCTGAGAAGAAAGCGCACAGGGTATGTGTGGCCCTGTGTGCCAGGTCCACGTGCCTTAGCTTCCCAGATCCAAAGTGGGCACTGTCAGCAGCTTGTAGCTCTCAGGCCCAGGTGAAGCCACTCACCCTGTGGACAGCACGCTCACCCCCAAGGGCCACACCAGCAAGAGTGTTTCTCCTCTTCTGGCACCCCAAAGGCCAGGAAAGGTCCTGATAACTTTTTTTATTTTATTTTATTTTATTTATTTATTTGAGACAGAGAGAATGAGAGAGAGAGCACATGAGAGGGGGGAGGGTCAGAGGCAGAAGCAGGCTCCCTGCCGAGCAGGGAGTACGATGTGGGACTCGATCCAGGGACTCCAGGATCATGACCTGAGCCGAAGGCAGTCGCTTAACCGACTGAGCCACCCAGGCGCCCAAAGGTCCTGATAACTTAAGAAGTTTCCCTAACCTGGGTTAGAGGAAGGAGGCACAGGCCCTGGGGAGTTCCCACTGTGAGTCTCAGTTAACCCACAAAACAGCTAATGCCTCTTCCTGCAGCGACTCCCACTACCCACTGCTGGAGATTAGAACCCCATGTTGCTCTCTGAAACTTGGTGTGACCAAGTTTCCAAGTAGGAAATACAAGTGACAGAGGAACCTGTTAAATGACACCATGGGATGCAATCAGCAAGTTCTAAGACAATTCCAAAACTCTAAAGGACAAAGGACATGATTTTTTCAACAAACAAATTGCAAGGAAGGAAGGAAGAGGAACCCATGCATTAAGAGATATAACAACCAAATGCAATGTGGGTGGCCTTATCTACATTATAATCAAAACAATTATTTAAAAATTAGTCCCGGGGCGCCTGGGTGGCTCAGATGGTTGAGCGTCTGCCTTTAGCTCAGGTCATGATCCCAGGGTCCTGGGATCGAGCCCCACATCTGGGCTCCTGGCTCAGTGGGGTGCCTGCTTCTCCCTCTCCCTCTCCATCTCTCCCTGCTCATGCTTTCTCTCTCTCTCTGTATCTCTGTGTCTCAAATGAATAAATAAAATCTTAAAAAAAATTAATAAAATAAAAAAATAAAAATTAGGCAATCAGGGAAATTTGAACATAATAGATAATTTATGATATTAAGGAAGTATTGTGACTCTCTTAGGTGCCATAATGGTTTGGTAGTTGTCTTTTAAAAAGAGCCGTTATCTTTTAGAGATGCAAACTTAAATATGGATGGAATAAATGTTTGATTTGCCTTAAAATATTCTGTAGAAGGTATAAATGAGTAAGGTATAAATGAAACAAGATGGGCCATCCACAATTGTTGAAGCTGGATGACTGGTACATAGGGGTTCAATATACTCTTCTACTTTTTCATGTTTGAAATTACCCTAATAAGTTAAAAGAGATTTTTTTTTAAAGCTTCTCAGGTGCAGCCTGATGTTCATCAGCCAGATTTGGAATCAGTGAGGACTCGGGGTGAAGGGGGGTTGGCTTCATAGCATAAATTAGCAGGTGGGAGCCACGGCAGCCAGGCAGAGGAGGGCAGCCCTCCTGCATGAACACAGGAAGCATGGAGGGCTCTGAGGCAGGGTATGCTGTGTACAGCATGTTGTTGCTGGTCTGACAGGCCTCAGAGATAAGCAGGCTAGGTTGAGCAAAGGGACAGCAAGTCTGAACTTGAGGCTAACTGAAAAAAATCCCATATGCCGCATCATAGATGTTTGTTTGGTCAGAGCCAGTTCCCAGCACTTGGTGTGCACACAGCCCACTCTTCCAGATGCTTCTGTCAGTAGATGTGGTAGATAACTGCTGGAAACTTGTCCAGCCCCTTCACAGCATACCCCAGCACGGGGCCAGCAATCTCATAATGGCTTTTTCCTAAAAGCAAAAATCCTCTCCAGATTTTTTTTGGTTAGTAAAAACAGGCACTAATGTAGGTCTTTTGTAAAAGCAAGGTGGCATGATGCAAACTTTCCAAAACCTGGGGTAGGGTGCCTGGGTGGCTCAGTTGGTTAAGCGACTGCCTTC